AAGAATCTCAGAGGCTTTTTTGCCGAAGCTAGCTTTGAATCTTGATCCTTAGATCTCTGCCTCCTGAATAGCTAGGATTACAGGCATGAGCCATCAGTGCCAGGCAGGACTCTGCAATGTCAAGAGACAACTTTCTGAACTCAAGTGGGCAAAGGAAATCTGTTAACTTTCATAAATTGTTTCAGCATTGTGTGTTAATTTTTGAACAAAAGTGTGACAAGGTTATCAGAGAATAGTGACAGGAATCTGCCTCATTTTTTCCCCTGCTTTCCAGTGTGTTGGCTTCGTCTCTAGGCAGGATTGCTCCCATGATGTGGCAAGATGACAAGCAGAAGCACTAACAGTGCTCATAGTAATAGTACATATATTGACCAGTCCAGTAACGAGGTAGGAAAACAAAACAGTACCTGTGATTGGCCTCCTTAAAGTACCTCTGTCAATAGTTAGAACAGAAGTGCCAGGCTGGGAATGTGGCTCAGTGGTAGAGTGCTTGCCTTGCACATAAGCAGAAAAAGCCAGACGTGGCGCTGTGGCTCAAGTGGTAGAGTGCTAGCCTTGAGTTGAAGAGCTGAGGGACAGAGCCCAGGTCCAGAGTTCAGGCTCCACAACCAACAAAAAACAAACAAAGAAAAAACCAGAAATGCCAAGACTGATTTTAATTGGCCTAGGTAGGATCAGTGAGGAATCAATCGCAGTCTTCTTTCATTGACAGGAGTTCACTTCTACCAAGAGTTCCAAACCAAAGAGGTTGCGGGCCCCTCTACCTTATCCCTGTTACCATTTTCCATTAGAAAACCAAAACCAAACCCTCAAATTGTTGAATTCCCAATGTTCTGAGCTCTGTTCTGTCTTAACTGTTCTCTTTCTTTACAGTTCACAGTAAATAGAAGGAAGCAGGGAGCCATGCTAGCACAAGCAGACACTGGCCAGCTCTGAACCCACATATTTATATACCACGGGATGGCAGGATGGTGGCTGCCAAGTAGCCACCTGTCTCCAAAAGCACAATCTTGGAGGAAAATCCAAGACACCCCATTATCAGCCCACACCAGATGGGAATATGTGGAGGAAGGAGGAAGGAAGGAAGGAAGGAAGGAAGGAAGGAAGGAAGGAAGGAAGGAAGGAAGGAAGGAAGGAAGGAAGGAAGGAAGGAAGGAAGGAAAGGAAATTTACTATGTAACCAATGGATAAACGAGTTTAATCTCACGGACACATCCCGGCATTTTGACCCCAATGCTCTGGCTTGTTTCTCATCCTCACAATTTCCTGGGACCAATCAAGCAACATAAACTGCCAGACAAGAAGAAAACCAGCCCCACTGATCAGATCACCTACAATAGGGAAAGCAGCTGCACAGGCTCATGGCGTCTGCAGTCTAGGAACACAGAAGTAGGACTTCATCTTTTGTACTTTTTCTCGAGGGGAGGAAACAGACTGCACGCATGCTTTGTGCCTCTTGCCTATGGTGATCCCAGCCTCAGCCCAGCTGAAGCTGCCAGAAGGGCGGCCAGGAGGCAGCCACTACCGGGGTTAACCTTCCACTGCAATGTGGAGGGGCAGAGAAGTTGATGAGGATGAGACTACAAACACACTGACCTGTCTGGCTGGCTGCTGAGAACTCTGGTCCTAGTGTGTTCCCTTGATAACCCTGTCTGCCTCTCGCCACCTCCTGAGCATGTAGTCTGGGTCACCAATGGGAATCTCCTGGGACCTGACCCAACCTAGGCCAGCCTGAGCTCTCCTCTGCTATGACCTCCTCCATGACTTAGGGTGCAGACTAAGGAGCCTATGCAGAGGGGCTTAAGGGCCCCTGTGCTTAGCGGAGGGGCAGGCTTCAGCCCAACCCCATCAGATGCTAAATTCTTAGCCTGGCATCCCCGGAGTAGAGTTGGCTTGGGACTGGAGATGGGGGTGAGAAAATCCCACAGATTCCCTAGTTATTTGAGTTGCTTACCATAGTTGGCCATAGAAGGTTTTATTTTATAAAGGCATTTGTTTGTTTGTTTGTCGATCCTGGGGCTTGAACTTAGGGTATGGGTGTTGTCTCTGAACTCTTCAGCTCAAGGCTGCACCATCTCAGCCTCCTGAGGAGCTAGGATTACAGACGTGAGCCACCAGCACCCAGCAGGCTGTTTTGGAGTTTAGAGTTTTGTAATCTAGAGTCCTAAAACAGAGAGAAGGACTGAGCCATAATTGGAATATTTGGAATATTGTTTTGGAATCTAGAGTCCCAAAACTGAGAGAAGGACTGAGTCAAAAGATCCAGATTTGAAAAAGTAAGGAATGAGGGAACTTGGGGATATTTTCACATTCTTGGAGATAGGGGTCTAGACATCACATGACAGCTGCTGAGCAGGCCTGTCTCCCTCCTTGATTTTTTTTCCCCCACAAGGGCCTCTTCCCCAGTTTCTCCCCAGCACAGGATGTAGCCGCAAAAGCTTTACCTTTCCTGCTGGTCTCCTGGCTTCCTCGCCTAGCACCAGGGTCACTGCCCTCAATGTAGGGACAGGTCCCAGTCCCAGCCACACTGGCAAGGCCTCATTCCCCTACCCCACAGCAGGACCCTCCTGCCTCCCCTCCAGAACCCCAGGCTGACACTCCACACTCTACAAAAACTCCCAGAAGGCAGAAGTCTTCATGGATTCTTCAAGGCTGGTATTTCTATCAGGTCTCCACTGGAAGCCTCTCTCACTCCTAAAGTGGGGACTGGCTGAGTTTGTTGATGGGATCTGTGAAGCCAAAATAAAGTTGTCCATATTTTCTGTGAGAAAGCAGAGTGTTCATGCAGCTTGGGAGGTCAGGCTAGGTCAGGGAGCCATGATTCCAGGAGATCCGCCAGTTTCAGGGTTTGGGTTATAAGTGGCTGGTGTCCATTAGGTCCTGGAGACCCCCAGCTCCAGAACCTGGGAGGAGAGAGCTTAGGGATCACCATACGGAGAAAACCAAGCAGAGAGGGTCTTTATCTCTATGACCTTCGTGTCCTGGGTAGGCTGCACGTGTTGGGCCTTCTCCCCATCTCGCCACACTACACATTAGGCACTGCATTTCTCATACACATACATTGATTCACACTTGAAGCACGGAACAGTCTAGAACCCTGTTTCAGTGAAGCTACTAGCACAGAGTCCTGGGAAATGGCTCAGCTGGAACGTTCTTTCATTGACAAGAGCAACTTGGAACACCACTCGGGCTCCCAGAGGTCAGCCCCAGGGAGGGGGACAGAGGGACACTTCCAGCAGAACCAGGTCATAGGCAGTCTGGCATCTCCAGACTATGCTGAAGTGGAGAGGGGCAGTGGCCCTTCTCTTCTAGCTCCATCTTGGTCCAGCTTCCTGCTGCATGAATATGGTGGTCCCATGGCTAAGGGTGCTGACTAGCCTCTCCTAGAGTCCTGTGGGGAGCAAAGACTGCTTCTCTCCCTCTTCCTTCTCCCCTTTTCCCTCTCCCCCCTCCCCCCGCCATAATCAGTGACTGTATTTCTTGGCATGGAGAGAAATAAAGTTAAACATGCGTGGTCTCTGGCCTGTCTGTGTGTACTGCTGAGATTCAAAGGTTTGCAAATCGGGGTGGGAGGTAAGGGGGTCATGGTGTGGGAGCAGTCCCCTCAGCCTGTTGGTTCTCAGGGCCAAAAGTGCACACTGGGGTTCCATGATCCACACTTAGGCATTTCTCTGAGCAAGTCATTGTCTCGTCTGTGCCTCAGTTTCTCCCATTTGTAATAGGAATGGGCAATGCTGGCTATGTCTCCTCCTCTCCTTGTTCTTCTCTCTGCACAGATGGGAGGTCTTGGGCTGGAAAGAAGAGGGCAGGAAAGAGTTCTTGCTCCTCTAGGCATGGGGAAGAGGAAGGAGTGGGTAGAACAGAGAGAAAAGGATGAAGAGAAGGAGAAGAAGGGAGGGAAGGTCTTAGGACCTGAGAGAGCAGAGTGGATCAGGCCATGAAGCTGGAGCTGGTCCACTTGAGTTCAAATCCTACCTGGCTACTAGTTACCAGAGCCCACTTGGGGAAGCTCCTTAACCTCCCCGTGCCTCATCAAGTCTGAAAGTGTTAGTGTCCAATGAAATAGTCCACGTAAAGTCTGAAGCATACACCATCTGTAGCAATGGGACATCCATCAACCCATCTCCATCCAGTGAAGCAAAACACAGGGCTGAGACCAGAGAATTCACTGGCTAAGGGTTGGTGCAGGCCACAGCGCTAGCTCTCACCTCTCTCCTCATGACTGGCTGTCTACCTTAAGTGCAGCAAGTCCCTAAGCCCACCCCCTGCCTGTGCAGGGCCCCGCCCATCTCATCTGTACAAATAGGCACTGTGGTACACCCTCCGACATATGTGTGTGAGAGTTAACAACTCCCAACAAGCACCCCACTCTGTGGTACCTGATTTGGACCTCTATGGGTTTGGCTTTGCCTCCTATGGAGGAAAAGGTAGAGTAATACTTGGTTAGTCTCCTAATGATGACATTGACGGCTTCACCAAAGCCATCATGAAGAATCAGGAAGTGACTGTGGACACATCACCTCCTCTCAGGTTCACTTCCGGCTCCAGGTAACCAGCATGCCTCATGTAGGTCCAGCTCACAATGGACTTGCAGAGACAAGTCCCTGTCACGTGGGAGTGGAGACTCATCAAAGTATGGAAAGGCATCTGTAGCAGGAAGGAGGGGAAGAAGTGGTTAAGGCTGGGCTCTATCTTTCCCTTCTCACGCACTTTAAACACCTACTGTGTGCCAGGCCTTATGCAGGACTCCGGGGACTCAAAAGATAAAGAAGGTTTCCTGGGCCACATGACCTTTGACCTAAAGGAAACTCTACAAAGGAAGGGAAGGCATTGGTGTGAGGAGAATGTGGGCATTGGGTAGGACAGGGCAACAGCTAGTGGGATCTGTGTCCCTGGAGGTTGGGGGTAGCCAATAAGAAGATGCCTTCGGTCACTAACACTGTGAATGAAAATTCACCCAGTCAACCCTGGGTGAATTCCTTCAGAGCAAGAAGCCCAGTGTCCAGTGCATAGCCCACGTATGTCCTTTCAGAGACAGAAGCCTTACTGGGCCTTAGAAAGCCTAGTGATCAGGGTTGGATGCGTGGCTCAGTTGGTAGGGCACTAGCCAATGAGCAAAAATCTCAGGTACTGAGTTCAAGTCCCCATCTTGGAGACAAAAAATAAAATAAAATAAAAAAAGCAAGCCCAGAGATCTCCCAGGGGAATCGTCTTTTCAAAGGCATTTGAAGCATCTTCAGAAGTCCACATTAAAGATAAAATGTCCCCTGGCTGATGTTACCAGGACATCTTAACCACATGCACCTCAGCAGTGACCAGCTTTACTGCCTGGCTTGGTGACCTGAGGGTTTCTTTGGCAGTATTTGGCCGTGCATATAACCCCATTTCAGAAACTGAAATGGAGGCTGGAGGAAAGACTTGCGTTTTGGAATTAGTAAAGCAAGGTTGGAACTCCCACAAGTGACAAAGACCAAAAGTCTCCAGCTCCTCTCCTGTAAACAGGGTGTCAATTGTCCCCATGGCTGGGGGGGTGCAGGGCTATGTGGGAGCAGTCAGTCTTGTTCCTCAGGAGAGGGCCAGCCCTGCTGCAGAGGCATGGGGAGGGGCTTCCAGGCCTTACTTTCTACCGTGAGTGCTCTTCTCCCCTTCTTTCTCCTTGCCTTTCTTCCATCCATCCTCTCTGGGTTTATTGTAACACTCTGAGAGTGTCTAGGAAATCCTGTTTCTCAGCCATCTTGCTTGCTTGAGAAGCAAAGAGGACTAGAGAACCCCTCTGATCAGTCTAGGGAGTATCCAAGCAGTAGAAGCCCATAGCCCACTTTCTAAAGGGATTTCCAGAGACCATGTGACTCAGGGTGTGAGGGTGAGAGGCTGGGGTGGGGGGATGGGGGGGGGAGAAATCAACATTATCACAAGTCCTGAGGGATAGTGGGCCTTCTA